AAGAGACTTGAAAATTGGAGTGATGAGGCACAGATGAAGAATGCTGGAAGTCACCAGAAGGGAAAGAAGCAAGGGATGGACAGAGCCTCTAGACCTCTGCAGAGAGTGAAGCCCTCCTGACACCTGGATTTCAGCCCAGTGAGACTGATTCCAACATCTGGTCCCAGAATGGTGAGAGAATCAGTGTCTTTTAAAAACTAAATTCGTAATTATTTGTTGCAAATGCCATGAAAAACTGATACAGTGTATAGAGAAACAAGTGATTCAAAAGATTAGACAGAGGGCAGCTGCTGAGACGTGGTGGTATCCCAAGCACATTCCCAATCCCGGAGAAGGACCTGGATTGACTGGAAGGGCTCTTTCTAATTGCAGATGTGTTATAAATTTTGTTTCTGAAGAGTTCCAGTAGTTCAGAGAACTCTCTGCAGAGCAACATACTTCAGTAGTCTAGGTGGGTAGCGGGGATGGGACTATGGAGAAGAATGCTTCTGGAGACCAGACTGAGAAGCTTTCTCACTGTGTTTTTAGAAGGAAGAGTCTGACCCAAATTCTTAAAAAAAATCAGAATAGATTTGCCAGATTTCTTTACATGTCTGGGACTATATGAAATGTATCTAAGCAGATTTACATTAGCAGAATCAAGCTTTCTGTTACTTAAAAGCTGCAGCAAATACCCTAAATGAAGACATACAAACAATCATTTTCTGGTACAATAGAGGCTATTAGTTGTTTACAAAAATCTAAAATGAATCTATTTTTTCTACTTTGGAATATGAATAGATTACATTTCCTTGCTTCAACTGAACCTAGATGTGAGACCTAACTCATGTCATTGAGTCCCACTGAGTGGAGGCAGATCAAGATAAGAATTTAAATTTCAAGATACTAATTTAAATTCTTATCTTGATCTGCATCCACTCAGTAGAGGGAGAAGAGAATAGGGGAAGACACACAAAATGACAATCATTTCCACTCAGATTCTATTAGACAGAACTCAAGGACGATGGAGCCACAGGTGGATGAGATGTATGTCTCTAAATCACCATTTGGAGCAAAGCCACTGATGACCTGGAAAACCTGCAACCGACTATTGTAAAATAATAAATTTCTGTTGTAATAAGACACACACATATTTTAGATTCATTTGCTGCTACAGTCTTGTAAATGAATCTTTATTTACTACTTTATACTTTAATACAGAAATAGGTATTTCTATGTAAACTGCTGCTCTAACAATAACAATATAAGACATTGGCTTTTTCTGGATAACTGAAAATGTGGAAATGGATATCATACTCTGAAAAGCTGACAAAGTTTAGTCTAACGTTTAGTATAACAGTCACCTGTACTAACTTGCAAGGCTGACTGGGTGACGCTAGAAATGGTTGGAAAGCGTGGTAGCACGGACTTTCACTTTCACTTTAGTAAGGCATTACATCTACTGTGAGGTCAAGTGAGAATTTACAGGTTTGCGGAAGGAGAACTAAACAGTAGAGGTATTTGGGGCCTTACACAATTGGTCCCTCAAATGAAGTACTTTGAATTTCCAAACGGTGGGAGTTAAGGCTGCTGTCTCAGATGGTTTTGAAGTAGCTGCCATTAAGGCAAGAACTAGAGAGGTAGAGATAGGGACAAAAAATCAGGAAAATAAAGACCTATTATCATTTCCTAGAAAAGTTAATTTGATTATGAATAAGGAAGCGTGGAACTGACTGGAAGCACAGAGGAAATCCACTCAATTTTAGAGGGAATCATATTGCTAAAGAGACCACAAGCCTGGCTTTAGAATCTTGTGACTTCTAATAATCGGCAGTCCTTTGTACTTGCACAAGCTCACAGAGACATCATGAAAACATTGGGTGAAAACTAAACCAACGAGCCTGTTAAGCTTTGCCCAGAATTCTGACCTACAGAAACTCTGAGATTAATAGGTATTTCTTAAGCTGCTAAATTAGTGATAATTTATGACACAGCAGTAGAAAGCAAATATAAATAGTAATTGTATTAAGCTTATATATCAGTTTTAGGAAAACTGACATTTTCTAATATTGTCTTTTCATGTAAAAATGTGGCATATATTTTTGTTTTGATTCTGTTTTATATCCTTCAGGAAGGATAAACATGTCATTATGCTTTTGTATGAAAACATTATTTAAAGATACCTAAGGATTGGTCTTTATAAAGAATTATTATAAATGTTGCCTGGTACAGTGGCCCACAACTGTAATCCTAGCACCTTGGGAGGCTGAGGCGTGTGGATCACCTGAGGTCAGGAGTTCGAGACAAGCCTGACCAATGTGGCAAAACCCCGTCTCTACTAAAAATACAAAATTTAGCTGGGTGTGATGGTGCATGCCTGTAATCTCAACTACTTAGGAGGCTGAGGCAGGAAAACTGCTTGAACCTAGGAGGCAGAAGTTGCAGTGAGCCAAGATCACAGCACAGTACTCCAGACTTGGCAACAGAGAGAGACTCCATATTAAAAAAAAAATAAAATCGTGATTAATTTCATCTATAATTCGATATTTTCTTTAAGTTAGATAAACCTGTTTTCATTTTTTTTTTTTTTTTAGTTTGAACTTTGAATATCTTATACATAGACTACAAACCTCATAAAAGTCATGGGGATGATTTGTTAAATTAATATCTTCTATAAGATTTTTTTTTCCTGTGGTGAAAGGAAAGCAAAAAAAGAGAAAACTTCAAGTAAAACTATTACTCAAAAGCAATTCTTATCAAAAATATTTTTGAATTGCTTATTTCTGAATGGCAGCAAATGCGAGAAACAATTAAAACGAGAAATCCAAAGACAAAAATGACTCGAAGAAAAACACCCGTTTTTGTGTTATGGTTTTTTTATGATGACTAGAGAGAAAACAGCTGTTAAGAAACACAAAATGCTAATTATCATGTTTAGTTAAGAGAAATGATTATCAGCAAAAGTAAAAAAGGAAGGAGAGGCATTATCGTAATGAAAATCAAATCACATAATGTTGGCATTCAACTGAATCCATTTTATCTTGTTCAAAGCAATCCAAGAGGTAGGCAGGAAAAAAAGAAAACAAAAAGCTTGCAAACATACAGAATTAGACAACAAAACAGTGGGAGCTCAAGCTGCTGCCTTGAACAAAGGTAAGATATGGGGAGAGTGAGGAAATGACTGCTGTGAATAAAAATCTCTGCCGTATTCTGTTTTGTAGATACCCTTTTAGGTTTGGAGAGGATTAAGACAGAGCTTCGGGAAAGCCATTAAAACGATATGAGAAGAAGCCATTCAACGTATTTTCCTTGGATCAGTTATTAGCTCTATGGATGTACAGCTAATAACAAGGAACATCATCTTACTTAGGATTTTAGGCCCAAGGGCAAGCATAGATCTCTTTAAATTTGGAAATAATCACTGTAGCCCAGCAAAAGTGGAGAAGGTCAACTAGATTCCATCTATTAATAGAAAGAGGAAAGTCATACTCACAATGTTACTACCTGCAGATTACATTGATACATTTGGAGACCTAAATTCTCTAGAAAAAAAAAAAAAGTTCCTATTGCAGTCCCTTCCACAGTTTTAAAGACTTGAGAGGTTTTGATCCAAAATGCACTAATATAAATAAGGTAATAACATTAAATATCTCTATGTTGACAGCTAAACCTCCAAACACATCCGTACCTCCTATTTCCAAAAACTTAAGACAACTGTAGCCCTCCTTTAAGATAAGTGAGTCCAGGAATGTGCAGAACTTACCTAATAAGAAAAAGGTTTCTTTTATGTCTAAACTAAATCATGCATCTTGCATTTTAATTCAGTAAATATACTGAATTCCCATTCTGAGTCAAGCATTGAACTAGTTGTTCTATGGAACACGAAGATTGGCGGTGCGTGACCCTTCGTCTCAAGGTTCTCATCATATCTAGAATGTGTGGAAGAAATAGCAGCTGCCACTGATCCGCCACCCATGTGAGCTAGGTCCCAGGCATCACAGAATCCTGCAGCACTAGTATCATCATCCCTAAATTAAAGATGAAGTCACTGAGGAACATAAAGTTGAACTTTTGCAAGGTCATACAGTTCACTGAAAAGTTGTTTCCAGTCTAAGTCTTTCTACCACGTCACACTTTACACAATAGTCTCTACCATTTGCTTGGGTACTAAGTTACTTCTCTGTCTTCTTCCTTAAAGTTGAAAACTCCTCACTCCCTTACCATTCTCACCTGATTATTATTATTTACAGCTTCTCGTTCATTCTTTCAACAGGACTGAGTGCCTGTAGGATTGAGTTGTAAGAGGGAGTGCTATGGAATGCCTGAGAGTTTCCAGTCATTCCTTCCAGCATCCCATGCTTTACAGAAAGACAGAGAAAAACTTCCTGAGTCCTAGGAGAATGTAAGCCTACTTTTACACCTGGTACATTCCACATATGCTCTTGGCAGCTGAAGTCTTCTGGAAAGTATTCAGGGCCAACGGGCTGAGGGATCTGATGATGTAGACACTGAATTCATTACTGGAAAATATAACATTTTATTCAAAGAACTGTCGTTGCTGCTGCTGCTGACATTGTTGATGTAGGCTTAGGCATTGAGAAGGAAAAATAGTCTATACTGTTAGCTCGGGCTATAAAGTCAACAGGAAAACTCTGAACATTCATCAGAAGCTTGACTTAACGAAGAAGCACTTTAACATTCTCACCAGGCATTGTCTGACATACACCACAGCATGAATTAGCCTCTGGCTTTGCCTAAAATTTTATTTTCTTCCCCACTCCTAAGATTCATTTGATATGTAGGTCACAACACTGAGATAAAATGAGTCTTGACATTGTTGAGGAAGCCTATTGGTGAGAGTTTTACTTCGTTCCTTAATTATCTGTGGATAACAGGGATAAGAAGATTAGCAAGACAGGGCCTTATAAAATCCACAAACAGTGGGTTCCTTTCACTCATTCAAACAACTGGAAATTATTTTTAAAATAATTTTAAAAGTCTATCAAATATTAACAGCAAAGACTTAACTCAAAAAGGCTTATTTAACTGTCTGCCTTAGCACTTAGCACTGTGCCTGGCACTTAATAGTTTTTGCTGAACAGATGAACCTTCTACACTACTAATTCTCATTGTTCTATAGAGGACATTTTTATTTATTTTACCTTTTCAACATATTTGCAGTGAAACAACATCCATTCAGAAAATGTATAAAGTTGTTTATTCTTCATGATAAGCCTAAAATATTATGAATCCTGCAATGTGTTCTAATTTTTCAAATACATACTATACTCAAAATAATTTTAGTTTTGAGTGCATTTAATCCTATTCTACTGCTCTATAAACCTCAACCAAGTATGGTCACTCACTTAGCCAGAAGGATGAGTATCCCTGAGCGCTTGTTCCAGGTGTATTAATCACCACATATTTGGTGGCTTTAAACAACAGAAATTTATTCTCTCGCAGTTCTGCAAGCTCAATGACCACATCAAGTTGTTAGCAGAGCCATGCTTGGTTTGAGACTGAAGAACAACCTGTCCCAGACCCCTCTCTCAGCTACCAGTGCTTCCTTCAGTCTTTCCTGTTCCTTAGACACATCACTCCAATCTCTGCTGCCATCTTCACATGGCGTTCCTGTCACTGTGTCTTTGTTTCTGTCTATCTCCAAATTCCCCCTCCTTGTAAGGACACCAGTTATGGGACTTAGGGCACCCCTTCTCCCAGTAGCACCTCATCATAATTTGATTCCATCTCCAAAGGCCTTATTTTCAAGAAGGTCACATTCCCAAGTTCTGAATGGACATGCATTTTTGGGACACTATTCAAGAAATTCAGAAAGAACTTTAGCACTTTTGGATTGGTATCAAAATTCTCATGTCAGCAGATGAATTGTTTTATTTAATAGCATGACTGTGTTCGTTAACACAGATAATACATTGAGTTGAAGAAACCAGATAGATCGTCTTGGTCTACAGAATGGTCAGGGATAGTCTTCAATGACAGCTCAACTTTATCAAAGGAATGTGTGTGGAGGGTTGATCTAGTATCAGCAGCAGGTTTTATTCCCTCAAATACAACTGCTCAGTTACAATTCTGCTATGTGAATAGCTCCGAGGAATAAACATTCCTTGACAGTGATTGCAGAAAGGCACATTTATAGCTAGCCATTTTCTTCTGTGATGATTTGATATACTCTTTTCTGAATGGGTACCCAGTTGTCCCTTCCCAGCTTTTCCTCCTATTTCTCATCCCATCATGTTGCTTCTAACCCGTCTCAGTCCTTCTAAAAAATCAGACATACCATGGGTGAAGCCATCTAAGTTTGTAAGAAGAAAACCATCTTGGCACATGTCCTTCGTTTTCCTACTCATTATTTTCTTTACACTTGCTATTTCCTACATCTGGGTTGTGTTTTCTTGCAATATTTAAATGATCATCTTCTGACCTGATTCTGGTCTCTGCTTCAATCTCAGTTCCTCACAGAGGCCTGCCTTGGCCACCCTGTCTAAAGTAGCTCCCCATTTCCATCACATTTTATTCCTTTACCCTGTTTGTTTCTTTCCTTCATATCACTTATTCCAAGCAGAAATTGTATATAATATTTATAATGTAGATAAAATGTAATACAATTTATTAATTATTTACTGCCTGTATACCCTACTACACGATAAGTGCTTGAACTTTATTATTTTGCCTATTCAGTGCACTGTTGTATTCCTTGCACTGACAAATATAATAGTAGCCTGACCAATAGCAAATGCTTAATATGTGTTGCATGATTAAATAAATTACATGATTCGTTGTACTTTATGTCTCTGACAGATTCCTACCTGTACAAACCATTGGTCTGAAAAGTACACATGAACAACTGTGTAAATCACCACAGTATTTTCTCCCTGAAATGTATCTAATTCTTGTAGAATACCAGGGGTAGATAAACAAATAGAAAGAGCTGCTTTCTTCATGGCGAGTTCATCAGCCCATGCAAATACACAATCGGTGATATATAAATTGGCCAATCATTCACTCATTGGGGATTCCACTATCTTCCAACAATTTTTTTTTTCATTTTAGCATACAATCGGAACAAAGGGCTACATTTTACTAATAGTAACCAGTTGTAATAACATGTTAATCACGTACATATACACTATCTACATTTTACTCTTATTAAATTTTTCCCACAGTATTTAGCTAAGCATGCATTTTAGAGCATCCATTTGTCACACTCTTCTGCCATCCCTGAGTTGGAGCCAAATGAGAAAAGACACAGGTGACAAATAAATGGAGACCAAAATGGCAACCTGTTTCTTATCAGCTGATGAGAGCATGGCTTAGATCTACAGTCAAAAGGACTTCCTAACACCCCATCCCAAAATACGGATGATACTTCCTGTCATATAATTCCTGGGCAAAGAAATTTCTCCTCCCTTTCGCTCCTAAGCTTACTTCATGGGAAAAACATGTATCCATTTTTCCATGGTCTCACAAATACTGTATAACAAATAACTACAAAATCACAGTGTCCTGCACAATAAATATTTGTCTGTGCTCTCAAATCTGTGAGTTGGCCTAGAGGTTCCACTGATTGGTGGGACTACTTGTGCACCCAAGGTTAGCTGGCAGGTCAGCTGGGTGGGGCCTGGCTGGTTTAGGATGCGGTCAGTAGAGACAACTCTTTCTGCTGCAAGTAGTTTCTCTCTCAGCAGATGAATCTGGGCTTGTTCTTACGGCACAGTAGGGTTCAAACAGAGCCAGGAAAGCACAAACATATGGTCATTTCTACTGCGTTCTGCTAACCTAAGCAAGTCACAAAACTAGTCTACATCCAAGGGGTGGGGAAAGGGACTCCACATCTTGAAGGGAGGAACTGAAAAATACCATTGCAAGGGCATCAGAACAGGGCAAGTGGAGGCTTGGGTCAATTTGCCATCAATCCACCACAGTCAGATTGCACCCTTTTTGCAGGCAGGCAGATCCAACGAAAGATGGAGGAAAGGGCAGAGCTGATCCTGCTGCTTTCTTCCCCAAAAGAAAAGGAAACGAGGAAAAGAAAGAGGAAAGATTAGCCATCCACAAGATACCTGATGCCAGGCGAAAGGATAACCTCTAAATGTAGATTCATTTATCTACACAACGTTACCAATCCAGCCAACTCAACCCAAAATAAAATGTAATAAACGAGTAAAGGCAAAATCAGCATTTAGTGCCGTAAAAACAACATTGCTGGCTAATTAAATCTTTCACACCCTCACGAATTGCTTTGCTGACTTTTTGTCAGGTAAACACAGTATGTTTGTTTGTTTCTCATGAAGATACTATGCATTTGGCTTTTCCAACAAACTCAAACAACTTCACTTGAAAGATTTCAGTTTGTGTTTTAATTACTTCAAATCATAAAATAGAATATTAGACATCTAGAAATGGCATGGTTTCTTCTTGAAAATTCTTAAAATCTGTGGTTACTGAATCAGAATATTAAGTTTAGGATAAATGCAAAGTAAACGAGTGACCTCTGCCACATTACATGTAACGATTTTAACTTGATGAAATGATCTAGAGGAATCTATTTTTTATGGATTTGATCAAAAAAATCCAGTCTCTAATTAAGTATTCTCACTATCGCCAATCACAAAGTAATATTTGAGGATATTTTCAGAGACTACTATCACAATCAAACCTGGTCAAGTCCTTAAGCCAGAAAAATAAAATTTGTTTTATTTTATAACAAAAAATATTAGCATATTTATTTACATACACAATATATAATACAAAGTATTTTATTTTATATTGGTTTCTAATGTAACTACAGTTTGTCATGTTATAAAGTTTTCCTACTGTTTTTCATATTTAGTTTAGAAATTTTGCATAGCTTTATAACTTAATAGAATTAAATCCTTTTTATTGATCTCACAGCTCTAATGTAAAAAAGAATAAAATACCTTTTTATATGTAAATATTTGCAAGTGCTACAGGTATTTAATATGTTATATATCTAAAAAATTTTGTATAAAATGGAAATTAAGAAATACAAGCTAAAATATATCTGAGTCAAAATCTCAACACTTTCACTCCACACCCTGATGATAATTCTGCTCCCACCAAGTGAACAAAGCATTGTAGAGAAGCAGAAAGAAGACCCGTGGAAGCAGTTGTTCAAAAAGTCATTCAAGTATTTAAACTTCTGAAGTTCAACCCTTATACTATCGTTTAAAAAAATGTACAGATATCAAAACGTAATAGAAAAAATGTCACGTCAAATCTCTACCTTCAATCCTTCTATAAGATAGGCTTTGAGGAAGAGGTCTTCAGGCAGCTACTGCTGTTATGTGCTCAGATACTTTCTCAACACTTTCACCTCCTGTAACAGATCCTAGCCCTCTGATCGTAGCAGTGAGTACCTGAGATTCTCTGGGCCAACTGACTCTACTCTCCTGGAATTGAACAGGATTGATGACATATAGAGTAAGAGGTAGTTAAAACTTCCCAACTGATGGCTGCACCTTAGAAGTTCCAGGAACTTTCTTTATCTGGATATTCATAACTGTGCTGGGTACTGTCTTCACAAAGCAGGATTGCCCACCTTTTCCTTCTATTTCTGAGCTATCTCAGTAGCTCTTCAGGAAACCCTGCTTCTTTCTCAGGTAAGTCAATGGTAGATTTTACTGTTTCAACTAAAGAAGTTTAACTCCTGATCTTCTATGACAGTTTTGAGGAGCTCAAACTCTCATTCATTCAGCCAGTCATTCTTACTTTCCACAAATCTTTTTGAGTATCTATTATGCGTTAGGTGCCAGGCCACAGAATAAAAAGATGAGCAAGATATGTTTGCTGTGCTTCAAAAGTACAACTTTATAGTTAGGAAAACAGAGTTATACAGATAATTGCATTGGAGTTCTCTGACTGTTTTAAGTATAAGATGCTACAGGACTGAGGAGCAGGGTCACAAAACTCAACTGTGAAAAGAGAGGGGCTGCCTTTTGAAAAAGTTGGTACAAACACCAAGCACTAAACTACACATCTTTGTGAATGTGA